AGGCAGAGGATTGGATAACGGCGCAAAGCAATACGCGTGCGCAACGCGAGGAGCTGGCGCAGCTGCAGCGGCTGCGCGAGCTGCTGCAGCAGAAGGAACAGCAGCTGGACCAGATCAAGCAGCGCCAAAAGCAACAACAGCGTCCGGCGCGACGAGCAGGCGAGTTGCTGCTGCAGGCGGCGGCGGCGCCTTCAGCTGAGGACATTGCCACCGAACCGGAGCTGAATTCAGACGAAGACGAGGAGGAGGCGGATGAGCACACAGATCATGCGCTGGCAGAGCAGCCGACGGAGGAACGCTTTCGTGATGTGCAAATCTTCTACTGCAGCCGGACGCACTCGCAGCTGGCGCAGATTGTGACCGAGCTGCGCAAGACGCCGCACGGCCAGCACGCACGCTGCATTGCGCTCGGCTCCCGCCAGCAGTTGTGCATCAATGCGCAGGTGCGCCGCCTGCCCAACCTGGCGCTCATCAACGAACGCTGCCTGGACATGGCGAAGGCCAAGGCCAGCTCCCATGCGATTGCCAGCAAAAAGGCGTCGCAGTCGCTTAGTCGTTGCGCCCACAAGGCGCCGGCGCAGCTGCAAAAGCTAAGCGATGCGGCGCTCTCGGAACCGCTCGACATTGAGGAGCTGGCCGCGGCGGGCGCCGCCTGTGGCGCCTGTCCCTACTATGCCACACGCGCCGCCCAGGCGCAGGCACAGCTGGTGCTGCTGCCCTACTCGCTGCTGCTGCAGCGCAGTTCGCGCCAGCAGCTGGGCATCGATCTGCGCGGCGCCATCATAATTGTGGACGAGGCGCACAATCTGCTGGACACCATTGCCCAGCTGCACAGCAGCGAGCTGAGCCTTGGCCAGCTGCAATTGGCCCGCCAGCAGCTGGCCGCCTACAAGGAGCGTTATGCGCGTCGCCTGAGCAGCGCCAATTTGTTGCGGCTCAATCAGCTGCTGTTTGTGGTGCGCCGCCTGCTGCAGCTGCTCGAGTCGAGTGGCGAGCCGCGCCTGCTGCGCACCTATCAGCTGAGCGCCGAGGGCGACTTCTACAACATTGATCTGCACGCCCTGCTGCAGTTCTGCTCGCGCACACGCTTGGCCCAGAAGCTGCACGCCTTTGGGCTGCGGCTGCAGCGTGAGCCACAACCCAGCGAGAATCGTCCGCCGCCCACGCAACAGCTGCTCCAGCGGCTGGCCGCACAGCATCAGCAGTGCCTGACGGGCGGCAAACGCAAGCAGCCGGCTGCCAAGGAGCCCGTGACGCCGCAGCCGCAGCCGAAGTCAAGTGTTGTGCCCAGCTCAGCTGTGCCGTCGCCTTTGCGTCCATTTTTGGCATTTCTTGAGACGCTCACCAGCAATGCAGCCGATGGTCGCGTGCTGCTCAATCCCAAGACCTGCACTCTCAAGTATTTGCTGCTCAATCCCGCCGAGCATTTTGCAGACATCGTTTCAGAGGCGCGCGCTGTAAGTAGTTGCCATCAGACATTCAAGCTGACTTTCACGTTCCACTTCATTTGCAGCTCATCATAGCCGGCGGCACGATGCAGCCGACGCACGAACTGACCGCCCAGCTGTTTGCCCACTGTCCCGAGCGTGTGGTCCAGCGTTTCTATAGCCACGTTGTGCCAGCGGATGCGGTTCAGCCATTTGTCCTGCCCACAGGACCGACGGGCGCCAAGCTCTGCTTCAACTATGCGCAACGCGCCAGCCCAGCCATGGTGAGTGTCACACATATTCTCTTATAGCTATAAGTTCCTTTCGGGCTCGGAGCGACCTACCTGGTGTAGCTAGTCTAGATACTAGACAAATCAATGGGCATGTCTTTTGTTGTTAAATGCAAGCTTTAGCTTTATTTTTGTAAGATCCAATCTAGGGCGCGGCTCCATACGATATATGTTCTCATGTTACTCAAAGCCATAAGAAATGGTATAATTGTGCGACCAATCCGAATCCATATTGTTGATCAAGCCCATGGATAATAGTTAACACCACAGCTAGAGGTTGGTCTTATGAAATCGTCAAAAACGCATAACGATTTGTTCTCTACGACTCCTATCGATTAGATAAAGTTAGCATAATAATGATTAAGCGTAAGGTTGACTAAAATGGCTTGAATATGTGTGTGCCGCTTCGACCCAATCGTTGTTTCTTTCTACCAGCTGCAGGAGCTCAGCATGGTGCTGCAGAATCTTTGTGGCGTGCTGCCCGCGGGCGTGGTCTGCTTTTTGCCCTCGTACGACTACCTGGACACGGTCTATGGCCATCTGGAGCAGAGCGGCGCCTTGCAACGGCTAGGCCAGCGTAAGCGCATCTTTAGGGAAACAGCCGGCAGCGGAAGCGGCGGCGTGGGCGGCGTGGAGCAGCTGCTGCAGCAATACGCTGATGCCATTGGACAGAACGCAGGCGGCGCCCTGTTGCTGAGCGTGGTGGGCGGCAAGCTGTCCGAGGGTCTCAACTTTGCCGACGATCTGGGCCGTGGCGTGATCGTGGTGGGAATGCCATATCCGAATCGCACGGCGCCCGAACTCAAGGAGCGTATGCGTCACTTGGACGAGACACTGGGCAGCGGCGCCGGCAACGAATACTATGAGAATCTCTGCATGAAGGCGGTCAACCAGTGCATCGGACGCTCAGTGCGTCACATACGCGACTACGCCTGCGTCTATCTACTGGACGAACGCTATGCCAGTGCACGCATCCAGCAGAAGCTGCCAGCTTGGATTGCCCAGCACATAACGGTGGCCAGCGACGGCTTCGGTGCAGTTCAAGCGCGCACAGCGCGATTTTTTAAGGCCAGAAGCTAAAGAATCAACAATGGGAACTATAAATTAGGCTAAGAGCAAGCTTTTGCTGGAGAATCTTTGTTGAGTGTAGAATTGAATTGAGATTGCGAAGGGTATTAGGCAGAGATTGTCAAAAGTCCGGCAATGCAAAGAGCTGCTGGACAATCTCGATGGGATTGGCAGGGGAAGGATTGTCGAGAATCTTTATGGGTGAGCTCTGGCTATCAATCTCTGTAGAAGCTGTTGGAGCATTTCAAGAAATTTCAAGTATTAGCCAAGTTAATTTCGAATGTAACAAAAACTTTTTTTTTTTATTAACAATAAATTTGGGAATTGGCGTAAATGATTTCACGTCGATATCTCAACAGCACGAGAATATTGGGCAAAGAGTAGATTGTAGGATGGAAAATTGCAGCACTGCATATCGGTGCGTTTCCAGTTGGATAGCGTTGAGTATTCAATCTCCAGCTCCTTCATTGTCTCGTAGGCCAGCGAGGATTTGTTGGCAAAGATGGTGACAATGAATTTGCCCGGCTTAAAGGTCTTGATAACCTGATTAATCAATTTCGTATAGTTATTCAGCGCCACATTGCTCTCGAAGCTCACATAGGAGAACTTCTCCTCGGGCGTGATGTGTATGGTCATATATTCGCCATGCTCATTGATGCCGTTCATCGAGTAGCCGCACGGATCGAACAGGAAGTCGTCGATAACCATGTCGGGCAGTATTTGATCTATGCCAGAGTGTGCCGTCGCCTCGGTTCCAGTGGAGCAGTGGGTCTTGCTGAAGACTGACATCACGTTCTTGTCTAGATTTTGCATAAGTATCTCGATGGTTTGATCGGGATCAGCGTCTATATTGTTCTCCTCGACAATGATATCGGGCAGGGCTTTCAGCTCCGGCTTGCTGAACGTATATAGATACCAGCATTCCAGATTGATAGAGCCCAAGCAGTACGATCGGCCTTCGGGAAATATGGTATCCAAATAGGTGACCTCCTCGTAAAAGCCTTTGTGTGGACTATTTTGTACCTCGGGTCGGGTAAAGTTCTTTCTCGAATAGAATATGTCGCTGATCACACTGAAACCGTGAACTTTGGCCAATTTGAGCAGCTGCTCCAAGCATTTCAACGGCGTCGTTGTTCCACAGGTCTTCAGTATCCATCTGCGCTTCGAGACGAACATGCTGCTCTCGCTTAAAAGGAATGCATCAATAAAATCATTTTTGGTGAAGCTGATTATTTCGCATTTCACGTGGCGCAGCAGATTCTCCCATTCAGGCCGCGTTATGTTGCGTAAGTCGCCTGTCGGACTTGAGCTCTCCTCAAACCATATCTCCAATAGCTTCTCAACGCCTTCAAAAAAGTGTGCGATGTCCGGCATGGCGAGGTCTTGTTGATCCATCGGATAAAAGAACTTCAAAACAACAAAGCTAGGGATGCACTAGATACATCGACTACACACACTAGTTCAAGATACTTTGCAGCAGTTGGCTTATCGATATGTGCAATATATATATCGATAGGGCAAGTCGGCACGGTGATTTGTACGACCGATATATCTACCTGTTCAGTTGCAGTTGTTTTTTAAATATTTGCTTACTAAATTAACAGAAAAGGCTTCGGATTGGCCTTCTTAAACAAAATACAAATTGCTTTTTAGTAGTAGCTTGATTATTGAGAAGAACCTTACATGGTTGGGTCTAATAATACTTCAAATTTTGTTTAGATTTACGCGAATATAGCAAACAAAAATATATAATAATATAAAATCCCGATGCTAAGCCACTACGATTCAAATATTTGATTGTGAGCGGGCAGTATCGATACTTAAGCATGCATTCGGACATCGATATATTTTTCAGAAATGCAGTATTTATTAAATTTTGGTATTTCTCGAGTACATAGGATAAATAGGCAAATAAATAAATACATGCATTTAGTAACAACACACATGTTACTAGATATACAATATGTTCTTCACAATAGGAGCATAAGGCAAAACCGTAAACTATTCTGTGTCCACAATATTATTTGAAGGATTCATTTTACGTTAATCAAGCAATTCTAAATACAAACAAATTTTTATATAATCTGGCCTAGTGTGTACTCATTTGTAAGAGTATTTGTACTTCGTGAAGTTCAAAATGCCAATATCTTAGCTGCCTACCAAGCACTTTGGGTATTTTCTGCTTTAGTTGCGCACGGTCACACTGTCGCTTATGTGTGTGTTGTTTGTCGCTCTGCACTCCATAAAGCGGATAGATAGCAGTACGTGCGTTTCAACAAAACTGAACATGTGAAGCACAATTGAGCTTTAAATTACAATTTCATAAACTAAAAAGCGCTGCATGTGCACAAAGTACGTAAATCGGTGGATATATTTCAGTGTCTATTCCAACGTGTGTTTATTCGAATAACCGTGTCGCGCTTAATACATACATATGTGTGTTAGTGTGTGCTTGTGTCGAGTGCCTGTTCGTGCGTGCGTCTGTGCATGTGTGTGTGTGTGTGTGTGTTGGTTTACGTTTGAAAAATGCATTTTGTTCGTTATAAACAGTTACAGTTCGATGCGATTCGAAACGCTTTGCAGCGTAGACAACCAGCAAGAGCAGCCGCAGCCAAGTTCAAGTCCAGCTTCAAATAAACGGTTAAAATAAAAATAAAATAAAAATAGGCTCTCAATCGGAAATTCAAAAATTGAGATTCACGTTTCCCTCTATATTTACTTTTCACATGTGCCCGGGCTGATAAGATGCTCGGGAACTGGTGGCTCCCCTGTTTGCTTATTATATCTACTACGCCTTCCCTCTGTGTGTGCGTGCGCGCGCCTTCGCCTCGCTTTGATTCATGAACAAGATATGCCGACCCGGCGGGCACGCTCTGTAATAGCAACAACAACTTTTAGAACACTGGTCGCCGCCATTGAACAAATATTTATTACTAATAATATTTTTGCCACAATTTACTTGGCGGCGATAAAACGCTGACGCCAGCTTAAGAATTTTTATAAAAGGTTGCTCAGATTACATGCACACACACACACACACACAACGTTTGTACCTCTCTCAGAGTGTGTGTGTGTGTGTGTGTGTGGTGCCTCTGCCCGGCCAGAAACTTGGATACGTTTGCTCATAATAGTTGTCACCGGAGCTGCAGTCAGCGTTTAAAGCGGTTATTCTCGTTAGTTGTTGCTATTTTGCTGTAAAAAACTTGTTTTTATCGCTGACTATGATAAAAGTGGCACACATTTTATACATTTTTACTATAACAAAAAAAAAAAAAAAACAAAGAAAACCAAAACTGAAAACTCAGCTGAAAAGCGCTCAAAAGTGTTGCCCCATCTCTTTTGCTGTTGCAGTTGCATTTACATAAATATCTGCTGGCCAGCTATCGTTATCGATATGAATCATGCGCCGACTTGTTTACGTTCCTAAACTATAGCGTTGTGCCACAATTTGAATTCCAGTTGCCCCCTCCCCTTCCCACCAATGATCCCATTTTTTGCTTCACTGTAACTGAGCGCCACAATACCCTTCGCTAGCCGATAGTTAGACTCCGCGTTGTCAGCTAGCGCTTGAAAAAGTAGCCGAATTCAAGCTAAATTAGCTGAATTCGCTTTCTAGCATATTTCTGTCATACGTCAGCTAATAAGTAGAAGAATCGTTTTCTTTCTTGCTTTTCATGCATTCTAACGCCTTTGTAGGGTATACGTGCCTCGGTGTGTGTGCAGCGCGGCGACGCTGGCGAGTTCAGTTTCTTGCCTTTGGCAGCCGAAAACGTTGCGCAGGTTTTTCAATTCATTCGCATTTGGACCGCAGTCGCGGCAACAACGCTACTTGCGAAACGAAACGAAACGGTAAATGAAACAACGCCCCGTGGCCGTTAAACGTGCGTCGGTGAAACCAAACCAAAAAGGAAACGAAAGAATTAATGACAAAAAAAAAAAAAAACACACACAGAAAATACACAAAATCTAATTAATACAAAACGCGTGCTGTGCAACAACAACAACAACAACAATAACGACAATTTACATAATTGTGCATTTATTTTTGACAACAATAATAAATCGAAGCAAATCTCCAGCGGTTGCCGATAAGCACCGCCTTTTTTTTTTTTATCAAATTGTGTGCAGTTTTTTTTTTTTGCCTGCAAATTTGGTCCTTTTTTTTAATGGTTATGTTTCTGCGCTGAGCGCGAGCGAGATAGCGAGCGGCGAATGCGGCAGATGAAATCAAAACAAAAATTATTGTGTGCTTCGCAATTTTGCAAAGTGCCGTTAGTAAGGCTGCGTATATGCCGTTATATTACTACAGTTGTGTGTAGAATTCATTTTTGTGTTTTTTTTTTTTTTTTTTTTTTATTTTTTTGGTGATTCCTTTTTGTTATTTTTTTGGGTGTGTGAAAAGTGAAAGTGAAAATTGAGCGCAGGCAACGCACACGCACACACACACACACATACATACACGGGCATGGGCACGCACGCTGGCACAGGACATGGAAACAAACGAAATAGAGAGAACAAAGAGAGCGAGCGTGTAAGAGAGAGCGCTTGTGTTGTCTAGGCAGGAGAGCATGCGTTTTGGGGTCGGCGCTACAATTTGGAATTTGGCACAGCGTGTGAAGCGCACGCATTAACACCCCCGCAGCAGCCCGGCGCGCGCTCTCTCTCTCACTCGCTCACACGCAGGTTCCCTTGTGCTGCTCTGCGCACACATTTGTCAGGAGTGCGTGCGTGCGTGCCTATGTGTTTGTGTATGTGTGCGTGTGTGTGCGCGCGTAAAGCAAAGGAAGCATACGAATGTAGCCCAATCCCCCCCCTTCAACTACTTCTACCCCTCTTGCAGCAGTGAGTGTAATGCGCTAAACTCTCAAGTCAATTTTGCGTTGAAACGAGACGCCGTCGTCGTCGTCGCAGCAGCGGCGTTGTGACGTCAAAAGCAGCAGCAGCAGCAGCAGCAGGAGCGTTGCCATATCTACTCCCGCCCGACGCCTCCCCGCAACACACACACACACACACACACAACTCGCATACGAAAACAATATAAAGGAGCACATACCAAAAAACCAAGTAGAAGAAGAAGAAGCAATACGACAACTAGCCATAATACGTGTGAGAGAGCGGGAGAGACAGATAGAGAGAGAGAGAGCGAGAGAAAGAGAGCGTTAGCTTTGTGCGAGCAACAACTACAACTACAACTACAACTACAACAAGAACAAGAACAGCGACAACGTTGCAAAAGGAGCCATAAAAATGGAACAGCCGAGCATACTCGTTAAAATCCTGCATTCAATACCGCATGTGAATTACACATTTCGTCGGGTTAATGACACCTTCAATCCGGATAGCGATGTTTACCTAGAGGTGAGTACAGCGCACAAGGATCTAGGAGTAAATACTTCACCAAACCCTCCCCCTCCCCCCTCCATCACTCACACACACACACACACACGCACGCACAAACAGCGTGTCAAAGTAGCGCCACGGTTTCTATTTCATTTTCTGTAGCATTTGTGGAGTGGCTCCAAGTGCCGCCTCAAGTGGTGCCTCATCTCCGCCTCCTTCTACTACTGCTTCTCCTCCTCCGTGTTTGCCCCACTTGAGACCCCGCAATTATGCACTTGAAGTGCGTCCCATTTACAATTGATTGCATTTTGATTTGTTTAGTTATACATCTATCTACTCGGATTGTATACACTATATGTAGGTGCTTGCCATAAATATCTAGCTCTCTTTTTATTTTATATATTATAGTTTTAACTTTTTTTTGTACAAACGCTCTCAATTACCTGTAAGCAGCACGCGCTCTCTCTCTCTCGCTCGCCCGCTCTTTTCAGCTATGCAACTCGGTCCATTTCTCCCTCTCTGTCTCTCGCCCTCTTTCTCTTTAGCACTATCTGCTGCAGTTGCACAAAAACTCGCAACAACAACGCGGCGGCGTTGATTAATTTCGATATTTCCCATTTTGTTTACGCCTTTTGTTGTCTGCGAGCGTCTGTCGAGCCCTTTTTGTTCCATTCCCATAACGTTCCGCTCGCACAACGCGCGCTACTGCTGCTGCTGCGGCTGTTTGCCATGTGCGCTGCATGTGCCCGGATTCTTGTCTACCTCCGCCCTCGTCTTGCCTTGCCTCGCCTCGCCTTGTCTTGCCTTGTCGTGGTTGGTGGGCGGGGGGCGTGGACGCACAGCTAGTACACACACTTCCGGCTTCCCATTTTCTTTTTTCATTCCTTTTGTTTGGTTTCTTTTGATTGCCGTTGTCTACGGCCCCCGCCATGTATCAATGGGCATGGCTGCTGGGCCCAGTAGCCGAGCCCGAAATCCCGAACCCTACAGCCCCCCGGCAACAGCCACTCACCTCGATGCGCAGCGGGAACGCACAGCAGCTGCCTTTGTTTGGCTGACGATCTGCCTTTGGGTTTTTGCGCCTCCGCCCCCGCCCCCGCTCCAGTCCCCGTCAACGACTACCACGCGCAGCGCTTTGAGCCGCGGGTTATCTCTCGGCATCTTTAGCCAGTGGTCCGCATGATAACAGCGGCAACACAAAAAACAACCCAGCCCGTTCCGCGCGAGCGTATGCGACTGAACGATACCCTGTTCCCAGCATGGAACTTTAATATAATTTGCTTCAATCATTCCAATTTATATCTCAATATGTTAATATTCAGCAGTTGTCTACAAGTTTGGGGACTTTAAAACTGTGTGCTTCTCAAACTGTAGCAGATATAGATTGGGCGTGGCTAAATTATTCTTGGCTTATTTCTTCAAGGCGATCGTTAAGAATCGTTATCAAAATACATTGTGACTCCAAAACTGTGACTCAGCAGCTGTAGGCCCAATTGCAATTAAAGGCTCTAAAACTGTAAATGTTGACCTTTAAACTGGGGCAAATATGCAAAGTTCTTCGATTAGTGGTAGCTAAAAGGGGCCTAATCAAATATTTGTTGACTTCCAAATTTAAGACTACAAAACTGTGGCTCCAAAACTATGGTAGTTATACAATTGAGCGATCTGCAATATTAAAATGCAAACTGAGCTTCTATTCGATTCTATGCAATTCAATTCGATGACTCTTAAACTGTAAGTTCTAAGCGGTAACTCTCAAACTGTGGCGACTGAATGGCTCTAAAACGGTGACTCTAAAACTCTGGCTCCAAAACTGTATCAATTAATTAGTGAAACCAAAATATGCAAGAGCTCGGTATGCCTTGCTTTAAAAAGTGTTTGCGACAGACAATCAACTCGTTATGTCGCATGAAAAAAAAAAAAACAGGGTATGCTCAGAAATAATGTGAAAAAAAAAAAACCGAAAACGTTGCCTTTGTGCTCGGTGCGACGCCGACGTCAGCGCCATTACGCACAAGGCCGAGCCGGGCCACGACCACGTCAACATCAATTACCCGGCCAAGAGCCAAGAGCCAGAAACAGAAACAGAGCTCGAACTCGAAGCTGGCTCGGACGACGCCCAAAGGCGTTGCACGTGCGCTCCTTTATGTCCTTTGGGATGTGGCATAGCTCAGCTGCTCCGCTTTGGTCTGGCCTGGTCCGGTTCGGTCTGGTCTGGTCGGGTCGGGTCTCGTCTGGTCTTGTCCACTCAGCCAGCCTTATGCAAATTACCAAATGCCAAATGCACTTCTTTTTTTCTAGTCGGCATTCAGTTTTTCCAGCTGGTTTTTCCGCAGCAAAGAGGAGTGACAGTGGGAGAGTGAGAGAGAGAGAGAGAGACAGAGATAGAGAGAGAAGAGTGCCAGCTGCGAGATTTGATTGAAATTAGCTGGCCATTGCAATAGCTTTTAGTCGCTGCCCGCTGCCGCCGGCTGTTGGATGAGGAGGTGGCTTCCAGCGGCATTGTTAAATTCAGGTCAGCTCACCCCAACCCGACGCTCGTTGAAATTTGTTGTTGTTTTTTTTTTTTTGCTTTCTGCCTGGCTCGGCTTTGGCTTTTTTCTTGGATGCGGATGTAGGTCAGCCGTCGCTGCTGCTGCTGCTGCTGCTGCATTGGGCGTAGTTTTTTACGCGCGTCAGCAAAAAGCGACGGAGCAGGCACAAACCCACATCCACTCCCAGTCGCAGTCGCAGTCACAGTCAGAAAACGAGGACAGGAGCGAGGCAGGGTTTGGTTGATTTTCTACTGCTGTTCCAAATTGTTGGGCAGGTGGGTTACGCCGGCTATCGACAGCGCAGTCGTTCGGGCCGCGGCAAGTACGTCACAGGGGATTACCCATGGCCATAATGGGGGCTGACAATGAGCCAGCACTTAAGCCAATTCTGTTTGCGGTTGCGTTTGGCTGGCAAATGAGCCCACTAAGCTAATCTGCTTATCGACTGGAACGCGACCAGCTGATGGGCTGCCTGCCCCAAAAGAGACACAAAATTGCTGAAATTGCATAAGGATCTATTACAGCACGATGAGATAAAAGGAAAATAGATTTCAAAGTACGCCCCATCGCTTAAGTTCAAGCTGCTTACTGAGCGAGCGAGAGTAAGAGTGAGAGAGAGAGAGACGATAGAGTAAGAAGCAAGATGTTTTCCTATTCAATCAGTGCTAGAATCACATCTAACATATGCCCAGCCCAGCTGCGAGTAGCTGCTCACATACAGCTTGAGCTGAGAATTAATCCTTGTTCTATACGTTAAACCCTTCCACATTTTGTCTATATCTAGTTGATAAAAGCAACATTGCAAGTCGACTGCAGCCGACGTTTCCCTGCTTTATCTAGTTACAGTCTAGGAATAGCTGAACATGAGAGGGTCCAAGCCTGATCATATACGGAAAAAGAATTGTTCTGCAAAGTAGACAGAGCTAAGATTAACCCAGCTACTGGCCATGGTTGAGTAATAAGCATATGCTGAGTTTTCAGCTGTAATTGAAAGGAAAACATCTGCTATTTCTTTTACGCTGATTGATTATGAGAAGGCCCATGCCTGACATCAGTAGAAACATTAAACTCCGATCCAAACATAGCTATTATGTTGGCTACTTTCCACAGAGAAACACCTGATATTTGTCTTACACTTTGATTTAAGCTAGAATTATGTCGGTATTATGTGCTGAGTTTTCAGTCTTAACTGAAAGGGAAACACCTGCTATTTCCCTTAAACTTTGATTAAAGGAACATTTAACTACGATACAAGCAGAGCAACGATTATTTCGTCTACTTTTCCTAGTTATGCGCTGAGTTTGCAGCTGTATTTGCAAGAGAAACATCTGCTATTTACTTTTAAATGCCTCTACTTACGCCCGGTTATTGCTTGGGGCAACAATTTATCATACTTGGAATTGAGACCGGAACTGTATGCCCTTCCCTATGTCCGAAGCACAGCCGCCCAACCCTTACCCTAACCCTAACCCTTGGTAGTGCCCACTTTCTAGGCGCGACATTATTGCTAGCACTCACTTTGTCTAGCCTCTTAATTCAAATTGTGTTTAATCAGCTCGTGTCATATAGGCTTCCTGCCTTGCCCGTACGACCCTTTGGCCCGCCACCTCTCCTGCCCACTGTTCACACATTGCAATTCTGCTGGCGTCGACGCTGCTGTTGCTGTTGATGATGATCAATTTAACCTTCAAATAGCTACACAATTGCTCTTGACAACAATGACAACAGCAACAACAACAACAGCAACAACAACAACAGCAACACCAACAACAATAATAATGCTGACGCTGACGAGTGTTGCCCCACAGCCACCTCTTCGAGGCATGCATAACCTGTTTGCCCCCACCTCAATGGATTGTCCTCTAGTGTTGATGGAGAGCTTCTCTCTCTTATTCTCTACCTTATTCTCACACTCTCTGCCTGTCTCGCTCACGCCACCTCCTGTGTCATCAGCTGCTTGTCTAGCTGCCTGCTCCAAGGTGATGACGCACTTTGTTGCCCGTGCGGGCAGCTCGCAGAGCTGGTGTCCCTCTTTGGAACTCGTTACGCATTGGAACCCGCATATCATGTACCATATTATAGATAGATTCGCATCCAGCATTATCAATGCTTGTTGGCTTTCATTTATACACGCTCTATACCCATTAGAAAGCGGGCGGCGGAGGCATTTTAAAGATGTGCGCACGTTTGTGACGTGAAGAAGGCGTCAAACGAGATGATGTTTGTTTGTGCAGCTTGTAGCTTCAATTTATCGATCAATACCGATACTTGGGCTTATCGATAAATATCGATGCTTCACTTCCCATTTGAGAGGTAATTAGGTGCGCAAATATAAAAAAACAAATCATTCATAATTGATATTCACAATAGATAGCTATCAATTTGCTAAATTTAATATTTACGCTATTGTAGGCAATAATCGATAGTTAACGATAGTTTAGAACTGGCAGCCAACCAGAAAAAAAAAATCATAAAAAACTTTTC